TTTTTTTTTTTTTTTTTTTTTTTTTTAAATAATAGCTATCCTGGTTTCATAGCATCCATATCTTTCAAATGCAGAGCAGTTTGAGATTGCCCATGTCTAGCCTCTTTAAGGAGCAAAACTCTTCACTTCATGACGTAAGGAAAGTTGCGTGAAAGAGGAGTGCGCTTCGCCTAACATGCCAGTGTAGCATATTCCCATCCTGTCATCTGGAAAATTAAATCAGGTTACAGCGTGGATTAACATCCAGAATTGTGAGGAGGGGAAGGTAGCGTCTTAAATGCCATGAAATTGAGCAATAGGATTATACAGTTCACAGCTAATTTTGATATTCTGCGTTTGGCTTTTTCTCGAGCAAGATGCTGTAAGGAAAGCAGTAATAGCTTTTGGACCTGTCAGCAGTTCTATACTTACTACTAGTCACTGCTAATCTTAGCTTGTATGTGTTTGGGTCTTGTGTACAATGCTGCAGATAGTATTCATAAATATGAAGTAGAATCTCTACTCATTGGGGGAAGCTAAATACACTAGGAGAGAGAAGTGCATTTGTGCAGTTGGGAATCACTAGCATGTTATCCAATAGTGTTGGTCTTCTGTAAGGACACGGTGAAGAAGCAGAATGCTGCTGTGAGAAAGCAGCAAAATCTTACTCTTTTAGCACTGAGAAAAGCATTTTTCCTCCTCCCCTTAAAAAAAAATATATATATATTATACACACACACACACACACACAAACACACACATATACAGGACTTGCAAAAACTTCATCAGAGAAGTGGTCCAGCTGCTCTCTGTTACGGTTTCCCTCAATGCCACCTCTTAAAATAGTGGTAAAGGAAACTGCTTCAGAAACTAGCAAGTGATCTCTTACGTATGTGTGGCTTTTTTTCTTTTTTCTTTCCTTCTAACTGAAAATGCCCTAGGCCAGGGCATCTGTTGTGAGCAGTAAGGATAGTGGATCTGCAGGTCTTCAGGCACCTACACTTCACAGGCAGCAGCTACTCTGCGCTGAGCACTATCCTCTGGGCAAAGGGCTTGCAGTGACGTCCACCAGGTTGGTAAGTGAATCACTCTGACCTGAAGCCATCCATGAGTTTCAGGGAATTTGTATGCTATACGAGTATAAGCTTTTAAAGCTGAATGCAAACATTAGGGATAAAACGAAGCTGGCTTTTCCTAATGCCAGCAGTTTTAGTTTGAAATCTGACACGTGTGTTCCTCTGTAGTTTTGTCTCTAGGAAGATGAGAGATTTCAGATAAGACCATGCATTCTAGTCTTTGTTTTGGAATGGCATTGTTTCTATACTTCCTGCTTTGCAGACTCTCTATTTCAGTATAGCTTGTTGCTGCTCATGTACAGTGACTTTTCGGGAGAGCTTTATAAGCACTTGCTTAGGCGGCAACTGTGTGGATCTTGGGGTAGTTTGTGGCGTGAAACTTGCAAAGTCTCAGGCCAGGGGAGAGAGGAACCAGGGGCTGGGGTCCCTGCAACGCTCAGGAGCAACCTGCAGCTCCTGCTGCTCGGCAGTGTGGGCAAGAGGAGCTGCGGTCGGCACCGCGCTCTTTGGGCTGGAGCTGGCACCGTGTGCGGGTGGTGCTTCTTGTCTTGTCCGCTCCTGTGACCCAGGCTTTGCTTTCGGTGCTTTGTAGCTTTAGGGTGTCCTGGAAATCCTCGAGCTCTGCGCTCTGCTCCGACTGCAGGAGAGGTTGGCTGAAAGGATTTCAGAGCCTATTCCACTGTTCTCAAGTCAACGAAATGATTTCACTTTCCTGAACTTGTTGTTGTTTCCTGAAGTTGTTGTAGTTTTACAGGCAGAGTTGATAGTTATGTTCCCGTCTTAACCTAGGGTGCTGGAGATAGCAGCCTTATGAGTAAAGCTGCATATTGAATGCCTGGTGAGGAAGCCTGCCGTATTCCCGCGTTTCTGTGCGCGTCTCCCTCAGTTCAGGAGGAGATGGGTGCCGTGTGTGGAGCGGCTTGGTGCGGGTTGTGCTCCCGGGCTTGCCGGGCCCTGTGCAGAGCCTGGCCGTGCTGGGTTGTGTGGCCTTGTTTTGTAGGCTGCGTTTCATGGCCAGGTGCCTTGATGGCCGCTATTTAAATGTGTTTATTCCTGTGTGTGATTTAGAGAGAGGGCTTCAGGTTCGTGGAACTTTATATACAGATCCAAAACAGTAATTACCAGATAGAATTTAAATGTCATTTTTATTGGGTGATAGATGTGTATGTAAACATAGTTGAAAGCAGTATTCAAACAAACATTTTAACAGTGAATCATGTATAAAACTATGAAAGCTATAATAAATATGATGTGTTCTCTTTTTCCATTGTGTAGTGTTTTCCAAATAAAGATACAGGATGCTTAATAACCATTCTCAGGCTATTTAAACGTCAAAGCAATGGAGCTGACGCGATGCAGGATATCAAGTACCCGTTAGAAGGTGCAGCCCTGCGGGTGAGGAGCTGCCGGGCCCAGCTGGGTGGCTGCCCTGGCCCCTTGGAGCAGGTTCCAGGCTGCCCGTGGACGCTCTCGGGAGCCGCTGCCTCCGGAGCGTCCTGTCCCTCCTTGGCATCTCCTGCCTTCCTTAGCCCGCACGTGCCCGTCCGCTGCTTTGCGCTGCTGCTAAGCACTTGCTGTTATTTCCATAGAGTTTGAGAAGTGTGAAATCAAACTCATTTTCATGTGAGTAAATTGCGGATGAAATTAAATAACTCCTGCTCTATACAACTGACTGGCCTAAGCTTTATCTCTATAAAGTCAATACAGTTTATAACATCCCGAGCAGTGTGTGCGCTCCTTAGTGTGCTCGGGAGGGCCACGCGCTCCTTGTGGAACGAGACACCGACCCGCACGCTCTGACCAAAGCCCCATCCTCTCCCAAGCTGTCGAGTGGTGAGTGCCGAGTGTTAACGGGGAATAGTGTGAGCTCTGCCAATTTTCTGTTGGATTGGATGGTCCTGGGAGGGAAAAAAGAAATCTGAGTTGTTGTTAATTTGTTGTTAATTGTTGTTTAAAAGCTAAAATTTAAAACAAAACCAGAAAAGCCAAACAAAAACATCTTTGAGTGTGATTTTTTTTCAAGTTACTATTTTCGTGGTGTTTTGTTTTGTGCTAATGAGACTACTTTGTGAGGTGGCTTCCGAAATGATGAGAGCAGCAGCATGTATTTACTTGTCAGCTCACTGCACTTAGGCAGCAGTCTCGGTCTTGTGGGSCGGTGCACAACATCTGCGTGGGGAGGCCACACGCGGCCTCCTCTGGGTTTGCACAAGTGCTGTGACGTCTGTGGGGGTCTTGGTGCATAAGGCAGCATTTGAGATGCTAAGAAAAACGTGCACGTGCAGACATACACACATACACACACACAAGTAGTACAACTCTTAAAAAAAAAAAACCACTATGCAGCATGATGGTTTGTTGCTGGAGACGCTTGGTACGTGTAGAGCAGTGCGTGGCTGCCCAGGTCTTCACAGTGGGTTGCATGTTCAGACTCCTCGTGCACGTTGGACACTTTGTCACCGATAGAAGGATTTTCAAAATAAAGCTTTAAGGRCAATCTCTTGCCTATAAAGGTTTATATATGAAATTTTATATATTTATATATATTTGTATGTATGCAAAAGTGAAATGTTAAAATTAAAGGTCTGGTGGTGTTGGAAAATGAAGCTAAGAAGTTGTTAAAACACAACCTTCTTGTACTTGTAATTTAAAATGAATACTCCTTAACAAAATGTTTACATCTGCTACCAATAGAATCACCAATCAGCTAATTTATTACTAAAAATAAATGTTGCCAGTAAGAAATCTAGGGTGGGACTAGTCACAAACAACAGTATCTGGTGTATATGTCATAAAATGATTCTCTTCCCCTCAAGCCTTAGCTACAGTGCAGTATAACAATAATTGAGCAGTAAAGATTGTKTATGCAATTTCACTAGGTACATAATGGTCAGAATTTGTGGAAACATTGTATAAAAAGTCCAGCATCTGGTAATAATACATCCAGTGTGCCAAGCTTCAAACAACGGAGACTGAGCGCGACGGAATGAGTGTGAGCCGTGGCGAAGGATACTCCTTGGATTTTTTCCTACGTATTATATGTTATTGTAAATTCTGTTTATTGCAGGTTTTTATAATAAAAGAAAAATATTTTGTAATATGGAATCTGACCATCTCATCCATATTCCTTAGAAAATGAGTGTATTTGAAGAGTCCTATTATAATCTCAACTATGATATTTTGTTGTTTTATGAATATACCTAATTAATTTTAACATAATTTCTGAGGGAATACTGCCATATTATTCATTCTGACAGGCCAAAGGAATAAGAATGTTTTGTCACTCTTACTGATCTGAAACATTTAGCTGGTTTATTTTACTGATGCTAGAGAAGTTCAGGGCTACCTTAGATTTTTCTAATTCCTGTTTTATAAGGAACTTGCCTTTTCTATTAACATTAGTTTCAATTCTGAGAGCTTTGTAGTCTAGTATCGCTGAAAACAGTCTATGGATATTAATCACCACAGTGCCTGTAGGTGGCAAAACTAGTTATGTGATTGAAAACAAAAGTCAAAATGCATTTGGGAAGTGCTTCCTGGTGACACGTGGTGTTGGCACATTGCAGCCAGAAAAGTATTCCACGAGGTAAAAGCCTAAGGTTGAGTGTGTCACCAGGTCATTTATTATAAATTAAAATGTATATGTGTATATGTACACACAGATATTTATAATTTCTTTTATTTTGTGTTTGTATATGTGTCTGTGTGTGTATGTTTTATATACTTTTTT